CATGTATTTTAGGTGTATTGTAATACTATTATAGGTAACAATTGACACATGTATTTTAGGTGTATTGTAATTGGTTGATTTTATAGGATTTTGTAATAATTTAGATAATATTTTTTATTCTAGTATTAATGCACGTAAATTATTTTATAAATACATTTATCAACTTAATCTTCCTGAAATATGAGCATTGATCAATACAATTAAACATTTTGATTTTCGAAATTATCATGCAAACATTTACTTGTAGACATTATAAAACATCGATGAAATGTTAACGATTTATCAAACTTTGAAAAATAGAAACCACAAATTAAGACTTCATATTTGGTAATTAATTTCAAACATAAAATAGTTAATGACTTATAGATTTCTAAGATTATTCATCAATCTATAAAAAATAATATTTTTCCTTGTACAAACTTAAAGCCTGCCGTTAGTTATAAATACGAAGCTCCAATCAGTCTATTATATAACTATAAGAGTTTTTAAACTAATTTAAATATAGATGAAGTTAATAATTCACCTCGCGAATGTGAAAACAGTTAATTTTTTGATACTTTTCATAAACATATTATTACTGGTAACTTAGAAATTATAAAAGATAAAGTATTGTGTTAAATACTTAAATAAGGATCTAAATATAGAATGGCCACAAAATGTAATAAACAAAATATTCTAAAATCTATTGAAAACAATATTGATTAATATATTTTGAAAGTTAACTATATTACATCCTATCCAGCTAGATGGATAAATAATCCTTAGATAAATAATTTTATTAATACTATTTATCTGGTAGAATTAGAAATTCAAAATACTTCAATTTCGGAGGTAGAGACACATTATTTGGATCTTGAAATGAAAAAAAAATTGATAATGATATCAATCTAAATGTTTTTGATAAAAGAAAACATTTTTCTTTTCCAATATAGAGCTTAACCTATTTTAATAATAATGTGCCTTATTGTTTTGTTATAAGTATTATAACTAAGGAATTATTCAGATTTTGGATTTGCTGTTTTTAACGCAGTTCTTCCTTCTAATTTTGTATTGCTTGACTGTTTGAGAATTGATTTTATATATACATATATATTTCAATAATTATTGTATAACATACTGTATTACAGTATTTTTCGGAATATAAGACGCAAACTTATTTTGAAGACAAAGTTTTTGAGGAAAAAAGCTACAGACGCTACAGATTTTTATTTAACAAAAATTCAATTTCATACTTTAAAAATTAGTATATATTGTTCTAAACACAAAA